CTCCCGAGTGTATTCAGAGTTTCTGTGGATGCACACATGTGGTCGCAAGCTTCCACGCATGGATAACTGCCCGCGTGTTCCCCGTGGTTCTTATCTCTCCCTGGGGCACCCGGAGGTGGGTGGAGTGAAGCCACAAGCCTCAGAACCTAGCTAGGCCAACCCGGCCCAGGCTCCTGTCTTTGAAAGGGAAAGTTCTGGCGGCTCCGAGAAAAGCTGGCATCCCACAGCTAGCCTCAGCTCCTACAGCGGGGTCTTCCCGACCTGCCTCTGTCGCCCACCCCACGGTTCCTCCAGACACCTGCCTGGAGGGAATTTCTCCTGGACTTAAAGCTCTGCAGAGCAAGCAGCCCCCATGCCTTCCTTAAATACCCAGTAACTGCACACAGCCAGGAAATCAGGCCTGATAGCTCGCCTCACTCGGCCTGCAGCAGTTCCAGCTAGTTTCGTTTTATTCTGCCTTCAGAGGAAGAAATTTAAGGGCTGAAGGCCCAGTGCAGAACAGCCTCTCTGCTGAATAAACATTTTGTGAAACAAGAGGATGGGATTTAAACTCAAGACCGTGTGGCGGCAAAACCTCTTCCATCCAACGGTGGAGTCTTGCTGGTACCTGTTCTATTTCTTTGTTCTCACCTACTTCGGTACTGGAGAAACTCCCATGCAATCAACAAATAGAAATAGATTCACTGACTGCAACTAACAGGTGTTTTGTTTTGTTTTAATTTCTAACATGCCACTAATCCAGGGTTCCAGAATGTGAATTTGAGTTTGGAAAGAGAGGTGATTGCAAGAAGACACACAGTCTAAGCTATTGCGAGGCTCTTTTCCCAGGCGAAGGAGGAGAAAGGAACAGAAGAGGAGTGCTAGGCTCCCATTGTGAAGGAACTGCCAGCTCAGGTCAGGACTTCTTCCTGCAGAGAACAGCCCCCAGGAAGTGCAGAGGTGGAAGGCTATGACAGAGTTGGAGATAGAGCCAAAGGTGACAAGAATCTCCTCTTCAACACACACCACGCTTCTCTCCTCTCCAGAGGAGCAGTCACAGCCAAGAGACCTCAGCGTCTGAGACCCTATCAGTCTTGCACAATGCAGCTGACAAAATTTGTGAGCAGTCTCCTTTATTTACTAAAGAAGGGGTTGACTGGAAACTACACAAGAATTAATTGTGAATTAGGATTAGAGTTAAAAAGCTCTACCTCAGAAATTACATTAGAACTAAGGAGTTTCCAGACGTAGACAGGCAGTTCAACCAGAACAGTTAAGGGGGAAGGAGGGTTCCAGAGTGGACTTTCAATGTTTCTTGTCAACACCATGGCAGACCCAGCTCTCCAAGGCCCCTAACTCCTGACCCTTTTAAAAGAAAGGTCATTTGTAGAATCTGTCTACCTTCCTTTCCATTCAATAAGAAAAGTAAGCCCAGAAAAAATAATACAGTCCCACAGAAGTTAGCCTCAAAGTCAGAGCCGAGTCTCCCAACCTTCTAAGGCCTTTTCCACTTTTTAGCTTTCACTTTCTTTAGTTACAAGTTCTGGTGTTCAGCTTCACTCTCATCCCTCTAGCTGCAGAGCAATCACATTCCAGCTTTATGAACTCCTGAAGAGACAGGAATAGTATGGTATACTTGCCCCATTCACAGAGCCAAGAAACAGTTATTCTCTCCCTGTCTTTTCCACCTCAGCTCCCTTCCCATACCTTTCCTAGGCTCTTTCTACCCAGCCTCACTGCCCTTCCGTTCAGCTTCTGCAGAACTGCCTTGCTCTCGCCCCTTGGAAAGTCTGCCTCCTCACACACCTTGCCCCACAATCCCTTCCAACAAGCTCAGAGTTTGATAAAGACTAAAAGTGATGCTTTGGCAGCAGGTGACGGATGGATGTGATCTGCCTCCTACGGGAAAGCTATTTAAAGGGACAGCCCCACAATCCTCTCTTTCCAAAGTGACAAGAGAAAAGCCTGCTCTTCAGGCTCTACGATGCTGCAAACTCAGCTCAAGTTAACTTCTGACTTCCCCAATCTGCAACCTGGTCTGCAGCTCCTGGTTCCTGTTCAGGTGGGAGGGAGAATACCTGACAACTCACTGAGGTGTGGGGGCTGAGGAGGGGGACTCATCTTCACCTCCTTTGATGACAGATACTTGGGAGAAGCAAGAGGCCTTAGGGGGAGGAAGGCTGGAAGAACATTCTTCCCCCAACAACGTGAGCACATTCCAGCCATGTGCCAGCCTCTTCTCAAAGTCAAACTTTGTGAGGGAATAATTAACTGATCCAGGCACCTGAGTCTTAGACTACAGAAGTTGGTCCTTAGCTGGGACCACCCTTCCTTCAGGATCTGGTACTCAGTCCACATTTGCATCCTCTTTGTAAAGTGCCAGAGGGAACCCTCACTTTCGTTGGCCAGACCTCAGCCTGCACCTTGAGGCTGCCCTCTTTACCTGTCTCCTGGATAGAAAACTATAGCAGAAGAGGTTGCATCTCTGCTGCCCAAACCAAAGACAGCACTTTAGTAAGCATCTCCCTCCAGGCCTGGTGGGAGGAATAATTCCATCTCACTACTGCAAAGAAGTTAATGGAGACTTAATGAAAACACTGCACACTAATGAAGATCCTGAGACTAGAACTGACTCTCCCTGCCAAGTCAGAGCAGTTGGGGTCAGCATCCCTCCTGATAGTCACTCCTCAGTTCTTTTGGGGCCTAAGTTAAACAAACTGAGGGGTCTCAGAGCAAAAACAGGCCATAGTTGATTGTGTCCTGGGCTCTAAGTCAGAGACCCTCCTCATTAAGGAAGCAAATACCTGAAATGCTGAAGTGTCCTGATTTTTCATGCATCCATTCACTGCAGGTCATTCACCTTTCATTCCTGCCAGTAAAGGTAGTTGCATCCTCACCTCTCCTCTTTGTTCCTTCTACAGTTTTCTGGATTCTATAAAGAGGCAGTCTGTCAGGCAGAAAGTCCAAGCATCAGACTTGAGTTCCAGTTCCAGTCCAACACATGACCTGATTCATTAAGTCATTTGTTGCTGATTGTGTTTTCTGGCCTACAATATGGAAGCCTTCCCTAGCTACCTTTCAAATTGTTGTAAGTAAGGAAAACGCTTGAAAAAGTATAGGTGGTAGATAAATAGATGGACATAATTACATGTCTATAAAAAGAGATTATGTCAAATTGCAAAATTTCAGGAGTGGAAAACAAATCTGTTGATGTGGGTGGGTGGGTTGCAAGGGGGAAATGGGAGTAGTTATAAAATCTGTGTGGTAATAGAGTTAACTACTCTGTGTCTTGACTGTGTCACAGATATACAAGCCTGCACATGATAGGGCTGTATATACATACACAGAGAACCAGTATAAGTAACACTGGAACACCTGAATGAGTTCAGTGAATTATATTAATGCCCCATATCCTAGTTGTGACCAAGAACTAAAGAATTGTGAGGTGTTACCATTGGGTGAAACTGTATAAGGATAGGCAGGACCTTTCTGTATTATTTCTTACAAGTAAATGTACATAAAGTATCTTGATTTTTTTTTTAATTAACAAAGGGACATTATGTCTACCTCCATTGCCTACCTTTCTAGCAATCCTCCGGGAGGTTCTTTGTAAATGAGTCTCTATGCAGATGGAGAAGGGGTCTGTATACCTCCTCAAACAGAAGAACCAACTAGAGATACAGGGGTGTAGGGTCAGCAGGGTGTAACGGTATATGTCTGGAACCCCAGCACTTAGGAGGCTAATGTAGGAGGATCATGAATTTAAGGCTAGCCTGAACTACATAGCAAGACCCTGTCTCAAAAGAAAGATGTGTCTTCATCAGCTGTTCTTACAGTATCAGCAGGTCTGACACTGAATCTCCCCCTTTGCTCATAATGTCTTTTTCATAAAAAGGAAGGACCATTAGCTAAGGCCTGAAGCAAGAATCTCCGTTGTATCTATCCCTAAAGAGCACAGTTGTTACTAAAAAATGTTTGTTGATTATGGGTGTCAAAAGAAGGAAATATTGACTAACCCCAGGTCTGAAGAAATAAAAAGCAAACATCCATACACAATCCCAAAACAGCTATCAAATTGGTTTAATGAAAGCCGGATGGTTTTGCTGAAAGCCAACAACAATTGCTTCCTTTTCATAGTGGAAGTATGGACATGACCCTAACTAATCAACTGGCTAATTATATTTTCCCATTCCAACTATTCTGGACCTGTGACACATATGATCTGTCACTTCAGCCCTCCCTGGCAATGAATGTGTGAGTGAAGGATGGGGCTAGTGCTTTCTGCCATGGAGTTACTCAACCTAGTTAGATGCCATCTTAAATGCCCCAGGCTCTGTGACACTTGAAATTCTAATTGGTGCAGAAAAGGGCTAAGTTGAAACAGCTTATACTCCCTCAATTATCCCTACTCTTGGGCCCTCCAACCTAATGAGGTCTGTGAAATTTCAGATCTACAAGAGAAGTCCCTGCCTGGAGCAACAGCTGTACTCAGGCTGACTAGGGGATTTAGGGCTAAGTTAGTCCCACCCATTAGGAGGGAAAACCCACAGGAATCTGGTTCACTTGACTGTTAAGTGACCTAGGATTGATCTGGATTGTCTACCTCTGTTCTGGGTTGTAGAGACACACAAGGAAAAGCAGGTGGGGTGACAGTAGGTAGGAGAGTAAGCTGGCCATGAAACCTCTGGAGGGCACTTTCTCCCTGCCCCAGTGGGGAAAGCAGTCAAGCAGAGGTGGAGGAAGAGCCCTTCAAGGAGAAGCAGGTCTCTGTGCTGCTCTGCAGCAGGAGCAGGCTGGACATTTGCTGAACACATTTGGAAAAGGAAGAGAGGAGATAATCGTCCTAATGAATGTGCAGGAGACAATAGCAGCTCCAGAGGGAGGATTATAAGCTCATTATGCTTTAATATGATGATTGATCATCTCTGCCCGCCAGCATTATCCCAGAATAGTGATGAAGGTCGGAGAGACCCATGCCTGTCAGAGCTCAAGCTGGAGTCACCAGAAGATATACAATATGGTTATAGGTCACTGGCTTTTTTTATTGTTAAAAATTCATACATGTGGTTCCACACCCTTGTCCATAAACTGTCTGTCATGGCCCCAGCCCATTCCACTTCTCCATGCTTCCTCAGTCCTAGACACTCTTCCATATCCCTGTCATCAGCTGTAGGGCCTGACCCTGTCTCTCCCTGGGTACCCTCCCACTCTTCTCCCCTCTTGAAGAAATGGCTACAGCTTTCACTGTGGTGTGGCTCTTGGCACTTCCAAAAGGCCCTTCAGTGGGTACTGGCTGGCAGACGGTTCAGGTAGAAGGCCCGAGAAACCTCCCGATAGGCATTGCGTAGCAGGACGTAAGGGAAACAGGACTCCAGCATGTCCAGGGTCAAGAAGGGTGACTCCTCCACCACCTGAAACAGACAGCCAAGAGGTGAGAACTCCCAGAAGGCACCTGGGACACTGGTTTTCATCATACAGGTCCCAGGCCCTTTGTAGCTCTGAGTTCTGACACCCAGAGTTCAATGTGAACAGGTTCTGACTCACTCTTCCCTCTACTCCTTCCCTTGATTTGGCTCCCAAAGGCACTGTGTTCTGAGCTCCATTTCAATGGCCCATCCCCTCTATCAGAGCTAAAATGTGAAGGGTACAGAAACAGAAGGCAAGGGAAAAGAAAAACAAACCATTTTCCTAGAGTCGGGACAGCCCCCTCTTCTCCTGTCCTGAATACTAAATCACACATGGGAAGCAGAGGCATAAGTAAAGAGGGATGGCAGTGCTTATTCATCTCAAAGCTTTGTAGCCAGGAAAAGAATCACCAAGAAGACCAAGGAAGGGGGTCCTAAAACCACACAGATCCTCTTATACTGAGTCTCAGCTTCCTCCCTTTCACAGCACAGCACCTGGGAAGCAGTAAGGATGCTACATAAAGGACTGGGCATGATTAATTAGTTTAATTAGAAGCTTTCATGCTGTGGCAATCCCCATAGCTAAACAGAAGATAGACTGGAAGCCTAGATAAAGCTAAGGATGGAAGTAAGGATGTGAGAATAGGCAGAGAGGCCATATTCCAAAAACAGCAGCACAACCCAGGGCTGGACTGAGTTTCCATGTGGGTGGGAGCAGGATGTATTTCCTTAGAACCATCTTCTCTCAAGAAATCATGAGCCTAAACTAATGCTCCAGAGAGGATTCCCACATGCTCAGGCAGTCCACACAGTGGGCCTTCCCCAATACGTCTGGTGGAAGTTCTACAGATCCACTAGGGAAAGAGAATCTACCATGTCTGCCCTCACAAGTTACTCTCTCTCTCCAAAGTCCCTTCAAGTTTTACATTGGTAAGATTTTTTTATTCTCAAACACACACACAGTACGCACAACGGCCTCAAAGGAGCAGCAACACAGCCTGGAGGAAAGAAAATCTGCTGTCAAAACCACAGCCCCAGTCAGAAGTGGTGATTCATGCCTGCAGTCCCAACACTCAAAGCTGAGGCAGGAGTACCAGGAGATTGAGGACATCCTGGGCTATATATTAAGTATCAGGATAGCCAGGGCTACATAGCAAAACCTTGTTTCTAAATAAATACATAAACAAACAAACTCACTGTTAAGTCCCAAGAGTAACAAAGAGATCTTTTCTTGGTGAGATTTCCAAGCCTCGGCCAATGGATAGGAGCATATGCAGAGAAATGAGTGATAGCTTCAAGAAGGACTACTGGCCCATAACTTCCTATTCTCTGCAAGGAGAATAGCAGGAGTCTGTGGCACTGGAAACAGCCCTAGAGACAGAGACTTGGGTTCTAGTCCCAAATCAGCCCGAATATCTTGAATTTCATTCTGGTCTTCCACATCAACGTTTAAGTCTCAGATAATGGCCAGGATCAAATGTGACTGACATCAGAGTTCTTGATTCTGAGAGTGCCATCTCCTTCCACCAGAAAACCCATGCCAGGAACAGGCTGTCAACTCTAGGGTGACAGTGCTCAGGCTGAACAGTGAGAACAGGAAGACCTCAGGGAGAGAAGTGCTGGCCAGATTGTGGGATTACACAGATAGCCTTTTAACTCGGAACACAGCACCTTCCCTCCAGTCATCTCCAGTTTCTCTGTGGAAACATTTGCATTTAAATTGCTTTTCAGTAGCTAGTCCCTCCAATCTTCACTTAGTAAAATGTGCCTGGTCCTGGCTCTGCTCCTGCTCTTCTTCCTTGGAGGCTACAAGGGGCAAGAACCTCCCCATCTTTGGGGGCAGGCATGGAGGTGGGGATCACAGCAGAGGAAGTGGGGCTAAAAGGCAATTCACAACACAGTCACCTCCCACCTCCCAGAGGAAACAGAGGCATGCTTAAGTCATCCAGAAACTAAAGTTAGCAGCAGGCACAGGGAGCTCAATTTATTGAGCACTTAATGTCTACAATGTACTTCCTCAAATATCTCCTGACTCTAACCATGCCACCGTGAGGATCATTATCCACTGTTATAGACAAAGAATCATGCTACTGCTGGGCATGAAGACATACATCTGCAATCCTAGCACTCAGAGGTTAAGGCAGGGGCATTTTGATTTGGAGGTCAGACTGAGTAACACAGTAAAACTCTGTCTCAGAAATGGGAGAAGGAAAGAAGGAGTGGGCTACAAATGCTGTGCTGGCATGTATAAAGAGAGAGCCAGAAAGAAAAGCAGCAAGGAAGGGAGGGA